GTTTTGACATTCTGAACTGTCAACTGCATCTCATCAGTTGACGGTCTGAACTGTCAACGTAAAATATTATGTCATTAGACTTTGTTATATTAGAGTTCAGTATAAGTAGAGAGACTCACTACTAATCAGATGCAATTGAGAGTTTATAATTTCAACCGATGAGATACAGCTGATAGTTCAGAACGTAGACTAATGAATTACTATTTAGACAGAATTATTATTTAGACCGTTGAGAACGGAAAACCGCTAACACTGTAATTTGGAATTAATTTCCAGTTTATAGAAAATCGATCTGGAAAATCGTTGGACTTTTTCTGATATGTATAAAATGCTCGTAATTTATTTTCTGGCTTTTTAGAAATTCATGATTTTCGATTTTCTCTAAATTGATTTTTCATTTTACACAGAAAATCGACATAGAGTTTCCAAAAACATACAAATTTGGCGTCGATTTTCCGCACACTGGAAATCCGAAGATGATACGGTGGTATACATGGGTCAGTCATACTATGTGCAAGTTATAAGTTAATATTTTTGTGCGAATAAAATTAAGCATCAAGTCTACTAGGGATCTGATACTTCAGAAAAGGGTAAGCGAATTTCCAGGGTTCACGAAGCTCTTTCAACAAAGATTGTTGATCTAACACGTCTATTTAAAGCACACAGATGTTTATAGTCCATTACATTCTCGGCAGTTACAGGTGTTTTGAATCTTCATCAGGTTCATAGGATGAAGAATTTCCTTTTCCGGGAAAAAAACAACCAAACTTTTTCCTGCAAAGTTTCAACATGGGAAACTTTCGCACACTTTTCAAATTTATTTCGTTTTCCCATGGGAAAATGTTTCATACTTCTTTACTTGTCTAGGTTTTTAAGTTTCTTTCATTTTCCCATGGGAAAATATTTCTAAAATTTTCCCACGGGAAAATGTTTCACACTTCTTTATTTGTCTAGGTTTTTAGGTTTTTAGGTTTCTTTCATTTTCCCATGGGAAAATATTTCTAAAATTTTCTCACGGGAAAATGTTTCACACTTCTTTATTTGTCTAGGTTTTTAGGTTTTTAGATTTCTTTCATTTTCCCATGGGAAAATATTTCTAAAATTTTCTCACGGGAAGATGTTTCACAGAGCAGATAAAGACCCTCACCCTCACCCTCAAGAATATTTACTATACCAGAGAAGCGATCCCTCACCCTCACCCTCACCCTCACCGTCGCAGCGCACGGGTGGTGTACTAGTCACTCTTAAAAACTATTTCAGCAGTGGAAGCAACCCTCACCGTAAATCTTGAATTATTTTTGTTAAATGTTCGTCTGGCAAAAGAAGAATATACATTTGTGCATCGAGCATTTATGCACTTTATTTGCACAATGAAAAGATTTGACGAAGACTAAAATGTGTTTAGAACTGCAGTTTTCTTTTTTTCTTTCCTCTCCTTTCCTTTGATCGTATAACCCTGGATATTTCTTTATAAATATGAATAATGTACGCGTGTCTTCTGTGTTTGCTACTTTTAGAATAGTAAGTTTTCTTTTTCTCTTTTTTCTTCTTTTCTCACATTCGACTATACTCTCATTTTTTCTGAACATCTAGCTGTACTTATATAATTTTTTTGCGGAAATTGTGTGTTTGTCTGCCCACTGATAATAATGGGGACTTGTTCTCTGTTTTGATGGTCATACATAGGATGATCGACTTCTAAATTCTTTGGGATATGAAGAACAGAAGTCTTGTTTTTCAACAAAAACGAGTTTTTGTGCAACCTCATGTCTATATAAACCGTATCTTTTCCAGTGAAAATTTACCTAGAGATTTTTCTAAGTGGTTCATCCTAAATAGAGAGGTAGCGCCGATGAGGCGAGCGTGAAGGTATAGAGTGCTAGCAAGAAACTACTCACGAGGCAACTTCGCAGCTGATCAACGTCATTCTCGCTCATATTTTGCTCACAGGTAGGCCTAAGGGTAGTATGAAAAAGGCTAAGAGGATTTGGATATATGCGGCCTGATTCAAAAGTTATAAATGAATTAAAATTATTAAAGGTGGCACTACTGCGTTTTTCGGTGGTTTTTTGTTTTTCTCATATCTCACGAAGGAAAGAGTCTTTAGAGCTGAAATTTCTTTTATAGACACATTATTACAGTCTTAGTCAGACTCAAATTTTCGGAACTTCTTGTTGAGTGCAAGAGGAGATACAAGACTTTTTACATACACTACTTTTTCTCTGTGTTTTGATGTATGAGTCTAAAAAGCGTGATATTGGATTGTCCGAGAGTCCCAAGATCAATATTTCTTTAGGTATGGTAATTCCGAAAACGGATGGAAACATAGGTAATTAACCACGTTGAATCACATGGCAATATTTGTTTTTCAAGAACCTATATTAGGTGAAATAACCCATTTTTGTCTACTTTTGAGTAAAATTAAAAAATTCATAATCCAGCCAACGTCCATCCAAATTATGTCCCAATATCAAGATGCACACTATTTTACCTGCTCAATACGACTTTTTACTTGAGAATAGTAAAATCATATTTGCACTTCGGAAGATTTCTAGAAAATCTTTTCAAAAAATCAAAGTACTTCGTGTTCATTTTTAAAGCTTTTACTGAACTGCAGAGTGTAAATTCTTCAAAGTAAAATAAGGCATCGTAAACATTGATTTTTCTATCAACCGATCTTCTCCTGCTTCTTTTTATAAGAATATTGTGTTTCGCAAATATTTTTTTTAATAAGGCTTAATTTACCAAACATTAACATCTATATTTAGGTTTGGCTCAGTTAATACATAAGTCAATAATGATATATTTAATTCTTGTCAATGTTTTTACAATGTTTCTATCTTTCCTTTCTATTTATTATCTTCAATGTGTAATTAATTTAGTGATAGAAAAGGTCATATATTTATTTATTCGAAACTTCAGCTGAATGAAATTGAATGTCAACAGATTCATATTTGTTCAAGAGAAGAAAGCTATGTTTTATTTTCGAAAACAACAACAAGAAAAATTCACTGCATATTGCATAATTACACTTGACAACATATATATGCAGCAAAATTTTTGTTCACTTTTTCTCTATATTTCGATCCGTGAAAAATGCAGTGGTATCTTCTACTAATTCTGTTTTCCCAGTTATACAGTTATCTTATTTTTGCCACACGTTCAGTGGCGGTGAGAAGGAGTTGGAGCAGAAGGGCTGTAGTTCCAAAGATCGAAACTAGAGAAAACGGCAAATATAAAACCTGTAAAAGTTTGCCGAAATCGGAGTAAACTTACTCCATTTCTCCACAAAATTCGAGTAAATTTCCCTTACTTTTGGCAAAAATCGGAGCAAATTTCTGAAAGTAGCCGGGGTATACACTCTCCTCACACAAACAGTCGCGTCGCCACTGCACATGCTATCAGTACGTAATCATCACGTTTCCGTCGGTGATGTGGTTGTACTTGACCTGCGTTTATTGTTCTGCAGCAGACACGCTCAGGTTGAAATTGATAGAGATCCGTTGCAAACATTCTAATATGATAGTAAAGTCCTTAGAACTCACTCTCCCTTGTCCTAGAATAGTTTGCCGTTCTTTCTCTAGTATATTATCAGCTGTTTCTCTCTTCCTCGCTAACTATTAAGCCTGTATCTATAACACGTAAAGATTCCCGACACGATGAAATCGTGTTAGTGATCGAAGGTCATAGGGGAGTTCTTTCCAAAGCTTAGTGGTTCTATGAATAAATAACTCTTGTAAGACTTTGATGCCACCGAGATGCACTGGTAATTTACCATTGATTTGACTACGTAAAGGATAGGTACAGGTATTCGCTGGTGTCAAAAACTCATTCAAATCGTATATTTTATTTACAATTTTAAAGAAAAAACAACAACGATGAATGTCAAATAAACCAAACTGAGTTATTTTACCACTGACTGTTGTACTCAAGAGTAGAATCCATCCTAGTTCACCAATTACCATCTGGTGCGAATTATCTGACATAGCTCCTGTGACAGCAAGGGACGAGTGATATTGGAGAGTAACTAGACGCTTCAAATTTTTTCATCTGTAAAAGAATATATAACGCTAGCATAATTAATACAACGCAAAATATACGCATTGTAAGCCAGACTGGGAGCGTGACGAGATAACGTTCTGCTCAAAAATTTCAAACAGCCAACTGTCTTACCACATTTAGAAACCAGTGTGTTAATATGTAGAGTCCAATCAAGATTTTTAGTAAGATATAAACCAAGATGAATATGTTGGTTTACAAAATCTAAGGAAATATTATTGATCTGTAAAGGTAGCAAGACAGTGAGCATTATTGATCGATGAAAAATCATTCCAAAACACTTAAGGATGTTCAGCGGCAGGTACCATCATAAAGACCATTTATAGATCGTTATTCATACCAACAATCGCCTTATTAATATCGTGTGAGGTAGGGTAAATTGAAACATTATCTGCGAACAAAAAACATAAATTTTGAATTGTTTCAGGTAAATCGTTGATGTAAATTAAAAAAAGTAATGGTTCCAAAATGGAACCCTGCGGTATGGAACACGAAATGAATTGTTCAGACGACGTAGTGCCGTCCACCATTGTGACAATTCTTCTTTGAAATAAATAATTTTGAAACCACTTAAGAAGAGAGTTAGATAAACCAGCATTTTTTAGCTTTATAAGTAGACCATCATAGCTAACTTTGTCAAATGCCTTACTGAAGACGAGAAAAGTGCAGCCACTAGAGAACCTTGATTGAAACTGGTCGAAATGTGGTGTACTATACGAATGAGTTGAGTCACTGTTGAGTGGTTTCGCAAGAAGCCTGCCTGGTTAGCGTGGAAAAGTGTATTATTACGGAGAAAACCATAAACATGATTAAAAACAATACGTTCAAAGATCCTTGATACAGAATTTAACAATGTGACTGACCTAAAGTTGCTTAGCAACTGAGCGTCTCCAGTTTTATACAAACAATGGACAAAACCTAGTTTCCAAGACTCAGGAAAAATGCCAGTGTTAAGCGACTCATTGAAAACAGTAGCTAATATCGGTGTAACAGAAGGTGCAGCCTCTAACAATATTCTGTTTGTGATACCAGGCGAACAAAATTTTGATGTGTCTAAATTTGATAATAATTCAAAGACTTCAGTATCATAAATATGAAACTGCGATATAACAACACGTGGAGGTGCTAACACAGGGCACGTCGGATTATTTTTGAGATGTGTAAACTTTTGCAAAATAATGGTTAAGTAATTCGGGTTTATCGAGGGGCTCGCTGACTATTAAGTCTGTATCTATAACAAGTAAAGATGTTATAGATTATGAACGATGTCTACCAGTTGTATGTTTCATGAAACTCCACTATTTTTTAGGTGACGAGTTCAAATCAGTTGCAAATTTATTAAGGTAATGCTGTTTAGCAGATTTACAAGCTTCTTCGAACTTAATGGCAGCTTGACGGTACCCCTCACAAGAATGGGTCGACAGATACATTGGTTGGGAATATTTTTTAAAAAGTTTGTCACACTGTCTTAATAACTGTTTTAGCTCCTTACTAAACCAAGGCGCATCTTTAGAAGAAACTGTTACAAGTTTATTAGGACTTATTCTATCTGCTTTCTATTTGTAACACGTCTATAAGGTTAAATGCCAGAGCTATTACATGTTAGGGACGAGCTGCCTAAAAACTTAAATGAAGCAATTATATATATAGTAGTACTTTTTAGATAGAAGAAAAAACACGTCCTTTCTGCATGTTACATTTTATTTTTTAAGACTACCGATTATAATATTTCAGCCCTAAAGACTCTTTTCTTCGTGAGACAGAAAGAAATAAACAGTTTTCTCATGTCTCTGCGAGATATGAGAAAAACAAAAAACCACTGAAAACGCAGTAGCGTCACTTTTAATAATTTTGATTCATTTGTAACTTTTGAATCAGGCCACATGGGTCCAAATCCTCTTAGGCTTTTCATACTACCATTAGGCCTATCTATGAGTAAAATACGAGCGAGAATGACGTTGATCATCTGGAAATGTTCCCCTATGAGTACTTTTTTACGATTGAATACCAAAGACTTTATTGCTGACTTTTGCGTATAATATTTTTTGCATTAGATCTTTGAATACAATCGATAATAATAAAAACTCATTTTATCTTAAACTATGTTTTCATTCTGGCTCCGATATACAATAATATACTTCGTGATAAATACTGTTTAGTTGGTGAGACATTGGAAATGGCAAATCAAATAGCAAATTTTGGTGAATTAAGAGATTCTGTCTTTTTTTATGCATAGTTATATGATTATTGTTGGGCTTACTTTTAACTCTGCTCATAATGAGCTCGACCCGCCGCTCATATTGAGTTTGTACGGGCATGAGAGCGGTACATTATATTAAACTAAGTAACACATGGATAAAAACTACCTTTCTCTTCGTAGGATGACCTCTTCGCGGTGAGAAAGCTCAACACGTGATAATGTCCGCGGCTATCAATCCTACAAAATTTCCAGGAAATCATGACAGATGCTCTACTTTTACCACATTTATTAATGCCGATAAAATCATTTTTTTTTCGTCCAAATACTTTCTGAATAGAATTCTCTTATATATTCGTGATCAGGAACTAGAAATGAGCAGAACAGAGTATTTTTCCGAATTTTCCGAAGTGTTTTCGCGCTAACGTTTTGCTAACTAAGTTTAAATTGATTAAAAAAAAAACAGTTTACTCCGTGTAATTTTTACTTTCTTTCAGCTGGAAGTGAAGCAATGTGAACGATTTTTGAAATTTTGTAGGATTGTTAGTCGCGGACATTCTCACGTGTTGATCTTCTTTACCACGAAGAGGTCATCCTACGAAGAGAAAGGTAGTTTATTTATTCATGTGTTAGTTAGTTTAATATAATGGATTGACTCGACTACGAATTTGATGAAGGTTTTTGTACACTAACGCGGCCAAGATAATCATGAGTGAACGTGGTATTATTCCAGAAACTATCAGACTGTAAACACTATAAAGTAAGCGATATATTCCAGGCAGTATACAGATGTTGTTTTCAATTTTCAGAAATATTAGGATATGTAGAGGTATTATAAGCCATACAATAACAGTAGTCAATATCAAACGTCGCGCTGTTTTCAACTGTCTGAAAACGCAAATTCGCTAAACGGGTGAACAGAGAGTAAAACAATCAACGCAGGCCAATACAATGAATGATCATGAAATCATCAAAAGTACATGAAGCATGTATAATCTTGATTTACAATAACCCAATACATATGTTGGTGGATCAAGATACTCAAGAACATATAAGGAGGAAATAACACTAAAATTCAAAATTAATAAATTAACAACTGATGTTGTTAGTAGATATAATAAGCAAGAACTCGAGCGTAATTGATTTCGAGTAAATACTAGACAATTTATAAGGTACCTATGTTGAGAGTTACACATTTAGGACATCCTCTTATTCTGCTGTCTTGTGTACGTCATAGACAGCGAATTAATGATCTAAAATCCACATTGTTATCGAACTCGATTTAAAATCGGCATCGAAACCGCTTATTTATAGAAACAGCTTTCCATAACATTGAATGGTTTTTTACTACCAAAGTTTTACAGTAGTTAACCAATTTCTGGTGATATAAAATCTGTTTTGTATGATGTTGATGTCTTCAATAGATATTCTCTTACCTGCTATTAAGTAGGCGGTCATACCATAACGAGTCATTTGTTGTTGAACCGAAGTTAATGTTGACCTTTCTTTGAACGCACAATGAAGTAGAGTCTTTTGTGTTGTATGCGTTTATGGTACAGTAAGATGCTTTTAGGGTGTTGATCGGGAAAAAGTTCGATGTCACCAAAAAAATGCGTTCTTATAATTTCCGATTATGAAGCGAAAATGTAAAAAAATTCTATAATTTTATAATAAAGATTTATTGTTCGTATTAAAGTAATTAGCACGACAGGAAATGCCGTACATCACAGTTACAACAGTCAACTGAAAGTCAATTTTTTTCATATGTACAGTTCTTTAGGTCATCTTTTATATATCTAAGAACATCATATAAGACATAATCTTCACGTTTTCTCAACTAATCTCACATTGAGCACCATTTGATCATAATGTTATTAGTATATCTATCTGCGTCGAACGCAGTTATGAAATACAGTATCAATGTTACACGAATCACTATCAAAAGTATGTGACAATTACTCTATTTTAAGTGTTGACTATGGTTATTATTTGTCTTCTAAATGTCCCCACAGCATCGAGAAATCGTGAAATGAGTGATATATGGCATAAATACTAATCGTATCAGTGCGTGAAATCACATAATCTTTGTTTAATATTAATTAATATTTATGACTAGTGCCACTCTCCATAGTTCCTAATAACAGATGAAAGGAAAGGGAGAACCATTTTCGATGAGTCAAAAAAAGGAATCTGCCCGTTGGTATGCCCGTTGGTAGGACAGAGCGTTTCTTGGTTGTCGTCCGGTATTTCCGTTCTTCCGAATAAAGCGATATGATGAGTCCCTTGAGAAAGGCCAAAATCGGTCATGGTTACTCCGCTTGACTCATCGAAATTATTCTGTTGGAGCCTCTAGTAAATGCGGCTGTACAATACTTTCAAGCAGCAAATGTTGTAACACTCATGTATTTTCAAACAAACAGTTTACTTTGGAAAAAGAGGTAAATATAGTGTCTGATTCTCTAGAAATAAATTGGGAAGTTTTCCATTTAGAATAAAATTATTTAACAATAAAGTATACTCTATTTTATGACTATTCATCATTATACATACCAGAATAATTAGAAAAATCGTTGTATAATTTATAAGCACTCTTCTATCCATTAACGATATCAGTTAAAATAAGGGCTTCAGATTTTTGTGAATAAACACTACAAATACATTATAATGAGATAGTAAGTAATTGGTATATCAGTACTGGCCGCAAGACAGTAACTTTTGTGCCTAATATTTATTACACTAAATCATTTGGTTTTGTGATTTCCATATAGTTTTACAAGTATACTACTGCTAATTCTGCTTTTTGTCAAAGGACGGAGGTCGATAAGAGGCAAAATTGGCCCCCTCTCAGATCAAGCTCATATTCACAGGGCTGATGTCGTTTTTCTCCGTGATTAAAACTAGCACCTCAAAAAGACCATTTGGGGGGCCCGCCCGGGGGCCGGGGGGTGAGGGGGCTCGGGGGTGGGGGGGGGGGGGGGGG